GCTATAGCTATTATATTGTAAATTCAATATGGCTAGAACACTAAATTGGCGAGTTAGCATTCAGAACTATTATTTTTATTTAAAAAAAAGGAGGATACTTAAATGTTCATGTTCACATAATGCATTAAACACACATTAAATTGGGTGTTTTTATATATTATATTATTTAAATGTATAATCACGAATAGACAAATATACTTTTTTTATTTTTAGAAACTTTTTAAAAACCGTTTCTTTTCATATTATTTGTTAATATTTTAGTGTTTTATTGAATTGTGTAAAATGATCAAATATGCTTTGTATCTCATTTATACACACCACACACACACACACACACGCACACGTATGTGTGTATGTAGTGTTTTTATTAATATTTTAATTTTTTTTCTATTTTTATTTTCATTTTAGTTCAAGTTTTAGTAATTTTGTTGTGTGTTATTGTCATTTTTAATAGTTTTGGATTAGAATTTTTTAAAAATATGTCTATATAGTTTTTTTATTTATTTTTATTTCAGTTTTAATTTTTACTTTTAGTTATTTTCGTACATCAAGTTAAATGAAATGAAAACGATAAATTTTGTCTTGGCAACTACCTGAAATAAAATGTTAAAATTTTTTTTTTTTAATTAAAAACATTTTTTTACTATATATACTATATTTACTATATATGTAACAGTGTTATTTTAGTATCATTGATATACTATTATAATTTTTTAATATTTTTATTTTCTGTTTTTATTTTAATTTTAGTTCAAGTTTTAATACTTTTGTTGTGTGTTTGTGTCTTATGTATGGATTTTTAAACATGTTTTTGTTTTTATTTTTATTTCAGTTTTAGTTTAGTTTTACTTCATGTATTTTAGTACATCAAGTTGATGAAAAATGTTTATTCTCATATTATTTGCAAAATCTACAATCAATATTGTCAGCTGAAAATAAATAAATAACAGTGTTTTAGAGAATTGAGTAATAAAAAAAAAGATAAAATATGCATTCTTTGATTGTATCACATTTGCCTTTATTAAATGCCATTATATCGGCCACTTTAGATTTCATTATCATCATCAACTATTTAAAACACATATTTGTTGACACTATTTCTAATGCATAAAGATTTCTTTAGAATGTATTGCATACAGTATGCAGTAAAATGTGACCTGTTTCTGAAAATATTTTTTTTTAAACCAAGGCAAAAATGTTTCATTTGTTCAAGAATATGTGTGCAATTCTCTCTCTGTCTGCCTGACTGACAGCCTAATTCAACCTGCAGCGGGAGATATTGATGAAACGTCCTGATGTCAGTGAAGAGAATATGAGCGAGACAGACAGACAGACAGACAGAGAGAGAGAGAGAGAGAACGAGGGGCAGAAACCCAAGCGAAATTGAAGGACAAATAGTCCTGCCTCTTTGCATGTTCACTCGCCCTGTGTGAGACTTGATAATGGAGAATCAATGTCCAGCAGCTGCTGTTTACACAGACACATTCCCTTGATTGTTTAGTGGACATCTGCGCAAAATTACACTTACCAAACGTGTGTATGCGCTTCAGTGAGATTTAGACAACATGAAACCGCATTTGCAAAGCTTTAGTCTTCTGTAATGTGACGTTTCTCAGTGAAACAGAAACTTTAGTGTGAAATAATGTTGATTTTATTCACTGGGATTTGATTGATCATAAATTGGTGTATATAACTGGTTAATATTTTTTTCCTCTTCCAACACGGCCTTGATGATCAACTGAACATGAAAGTCATTTTAGAGTCGGAGTCAGTTATTTGCATTATGATTAATGATTATGTACACGGTTTTCTTTTTCAGAATATTATTGACTGATTAATTGTGAAACGTAAGCCCAGGAATATGTATCAATAAATAAAACAGAATGATCGATCATTCTTTTCATTCTTTCATTCTATTTTATTACCATTGATATACTTTTATATTACTTATTAATATTTTAAAGTAGTCTTTGTTTTTTATATTATCTGTTTTTATTTTAATAATTTTAGCAGTTTTATGTGTTTTTGTCATTTTTAATAGTTTTGGATTTTTTAAAATTACGTCTTTATTTTTTTTTTATTAAATTTTATTTTTAGTTTAGGTTAGTTTAAGTTAAATTAAAATAATAAATGTTGAAAATAAAAAAATGTACCTGAAATAAAATGGTTTTTTTTTAAATATATATTCAATTTAAGTTCAAATGCATTTTATTTTTAGTTAATATTAGTTATATACATTATATATTATATATATTTCGTTAATTATATATATATATATACTGTATATACACACTCTAAAAAATGTTGGGTTATTTGGACTAACCCAACTTTTGGGTTAAAAATTGTATGTAAAAATTTAATGTATATAATTGTGTGTTTGTGTTCTTTTCTTATTGTAATAAATAAGAAGGTAACTGGGGTCAACAGTGATTTCAAGTTGACTTTAACTGTAATAGTGCCACAGTATTCAATCATTTAAATAATAGAATGTGAATCGAGAGTACATTCACTTTAAAAATAGCTCGGTCTCTCTGTATATTTCATGGGTAATGTATGAGAAAGAGTCTAAAGTGTGTGTGTGTGTGTGTGTGTGGATCAGTAATGTCCTTTAATGCACAGAGCTGCTGACCAGGCTAATGCTAATGCTAGTGCCACTGTTTCTGAAAATCTGAACGCTTCTGACACCATTAACCTCTCAGAACTGCCCTCAGCAGCCGGCGGGGCATCTGTGTGCGCTCTGCAGCTCAAAAATGCTTGGCGTTTGGCAAGAACTATGTAATTTTGTAAGGGTAATGCTGCGTGCTCCCAGACACAGGTTTAAGTCCTGTGTTACAATACACAGCGAGTCATGATATGGCAGCGTAAATGTTTCATAAGAAAAAGCGTAATTACAGCAGAACAACAGTAGATCGCATTCATACATTCACAGCAGTGCTCGTCGCTCTCCTTGTGTTTGGTTTTTTGGGACAGACTCTGGTAATTTAGTGCAGTTCAGAGGCCCCGCCTTTCCCCGGACCCCGAACATCAATTTTTCATTGCGCCGCATTCTCTGAAATATTCTAAAAATAAAGTGTGATTTTCTGCCATGCAGCTGCAGGCATGAAAGTTTAATGTTTGTCTTGAAGGAAGCGGAGACGGTGAGCCTGCGGTTTCTTCCCGGACGCAGACACCAAAGTCCAACTTTAATTTTGTGCCTGGGCTTCTGGGGAGCCTTTAGGTCAGTGCAGACAAAAGCACAGGAATGATCCACTTCACGCTTTACAGCAGGACATATCTGGCATGTGTGTTACTAGAGATCAAGCCTGTCGGAGAGATTTCTGACAGCTGTGGTGGAAAAAAAAAGATCCCCAAGTGAGAAAGTTAATTAAGAAATTTATTAGAGTGATCATAAAAAACAATTAAAAAAACCTTATTAAATTAATTAATTATTAAATGAATATGTGACCCTGGAGCACAAAAGCAGTCTTAAGTCGCTGCGGTATATTTGTAACAATAGCCAAAAATACATTGTATGGGTCAAAATTATTGATTTTTCTTTTATGCCAAAAATCATTAGGATATTAAGTAAAGATCATGTTCCATGAAGATATTTTGTAAGTTTCCTACCGTAAATATATCAAAACTTAATTTCTGATTAGTGATATGCATTGCTAAGAACTTAATTTGGACAACTTTAAAGATGATTTTCTCAATATTTAGATTTTTTTGCACCCTCAGAGTCCAGATTTTCAAATTGTTGTATCTCGGCCAAATATTGTCCTATCCTAACAAACCATACATCAATGGAAAGATTATTTATTCAGCTTTCAGATCATGTATAAATCTCAATTTAAAAAAATTGACCCTTATGACTTGTTTTGTGGTCCAGGGTCACATATTAGTAATAATGTGGTAAATTTGAGTATTAAAATAAAGTATTATTTTAGTTTGAAAGTATTTATGGAAGGCCATTTCCACCACAGGATAAAAAAATTAAAATTTACTAAATTTACTACTAAATATCTCTCTTTTTTTTTTTTTTTTTTGCAATTCTGATTTTATATCTCACAATTATTACTTTTTTTTTGCAATTCTGAGTTTATATCTCATAATTCTAAGGAAAAAGTTAGAATCGCAAGATACAAAGTAAGAATTACTTTGTAATAAGGTATAAACTTGCTATTCTGAGAAGAAAATTCAGAATTGTGAGATATGAACTCATAATTGCGAGAAAAAGTCTGAGTTGTGAGATCAAAAAAATCGCAGTTACCTTTTTTTTATTAAATTCTCTGGCGGAAACAAATAAAACAATTGCGAGATATGGAGTGAATTTTTTTCTCAGATTTGTGAGAATAATTGGGAAAAAATTGCATTTACCTTAAGTTATTATTAACTTAGTTTGGGAAGATTATTGGAAATATATAATATTTCCAATATTATATATAATTATTATTATATAATATTTATAATTATTACAAATATTATTATTGTTAGTATTATTATTATTAATTACTCTTATTATTTGTATTTGTAGTAGTATTATTATATTACTAAATAAAAATATTAAACAAAATCTGAAAATGTACTACTGTAATTATATTTCCATGTGAAAAAAATAAATAAATCAAGTATTTCAGAAAAATATAATTAACAACAACAATAATTTGGTTTTACAGTACCACTACAATTACGATACTACAATACTAATAAACAATCAAGCTTTTATTTTGACCTTAAAGCTTCTCTTTTTGACAACAGCAGGTTTATAAGTTTGGGAAGATTGTTTGCACAGGTTGCATATTAAAGTGCGCGTTATAAGCGACCAAAACTCAGCCGATGCAGTGATGATTTCATGTTTAGCAGCGTTTACTGAAAACACCAGCGCGAGCTGTTCACGTGTAAATGAACACAGCGCCGAGCTTCACCCTGAAACGTGCGGCACATGTATTTATTTAATTCCATTGCAGCCTTGGCTTGGTGCAGTTATTTTGATGAATGCACAGCTCTAGTGCTAGTGTCACCTGGGTGTGAAGTCGCAGCCCTGCTGCATGAAGGCGCCCAGAGAGAACCAGAGACTGTTGAAGATGCCGAACTCGTTGGGGGGCTGGTCGCTGGGCGGACCGTCGGAGCCTTCCTCGGGCTCCTCGGTGTGCCACTCGTACGGGCTGAAGCGGCTGACCAGGAAGAGCACCACGCTCACGCCGATGTAGGCGAACACGATGCACATCCAGATCTCGTAGGCCAGCGGGTCCAGGAAGGAGAAGACGCCAGGTTTGGACTTCTGCGGCTTCTTGATCATGATAGAGATTCCCAGACTCATGAAGGGCTTGGAGAAATCGATCACCTCCTCCCGGACCAGAGAGATGGTTAAAGGGGCCACAGCGATTTCCGCTTTCTGTGGAGGAAGGAGGTTCAGAACGTGACCTTCCCATTCAGTTTATGTATTGAAACAAAGCTGCAAAAACGAGTCGATGAATGCATGTCAAAACTGGAGAAAAAAATTGATTATTTTAAATATCATGTGAACATTGAGGTGATTTTTATATATATTTTTTGGGGATTCTTTTCAGTTGTTTGCTGTATATTTAAAGGGATATTTCAGGCGAAAATTAATATTTTGTCATTGTTTACATGCCTTCATGTCATTTCAGAACACAAAATAGCGTTTTTTTAAGAATGTTGAGGTCCAAACAACATTGGACCCCATTGCCTTTCATTGTAATTCTTCAAAACATCATCTTTTATCTTCCACAGAGGAAAGTAAGTCATACCGGTTTGGAAAGAGACAAGGGCGAGTAAATAATGACAGCATTTTCATTTTTGTTTAAACTATCCCTTAATAAACTCATATACTCTTTCAAAAGTTTAGGGTCAGTAAGATTTTTCATTTTTTAAAAGACACTCTTCTGCTCATCAAGGCTGCATTTATTTAATCAAAAATACAGTAAAATCAACAAAATTGTGAAATACTTTTACTATTTAAAATAACTGATTTCTATGTGAATATATTATAAACTGTAATTTATTCCTGTGATAAAAGCTGTATTTTCAGCATCATTACTCCAGTCTTCAGTGTCACATGATCTTCAGAAATCATTCTAATATGCTGCTTTGCTGCTCAACAAACATTTCTGATTATTATCAATGTTGAAAACAGTTGTGCTGCTTCATATTTTTGTGGAAACTGTGATATTTTTTATTTTTCAGGATTCTTTGATGAATAGAAATTTCAAAAGAACAGCATTTATTTGAAATAGAAATCTTTTGTAACATTCTAAATGTCTTCACTGTCACTTTTGATAAATTTAATGCATCCTTGCTGAATAAAATATTAATTTCTATTAAAAAATCACAAATTTTAAGAAACCTTCAAATGTAATTGGACTTTTCATGGACAAACTGCTTTAAAACTGTAGAATATGACCCTTTTATGTAGAGAAATGACGGCAGAAATTTCCCACTGACTCATTTCTGCATCCGTCTGACCCATTCATTTTGAAGGTCACCAGAACCTCAAGAACCCTGTATTGCGGTGAAGGCCTGGTTAAACCCACACTAAGGCCGGGAGAGACGGGTTATTATAGTAGAGTGCTTTCAATGGTGCAATTTCACAAGAAAAACACATTCCCCAGTTGCTGTTCTGTGTCCAAACATGTCTTTACAGCCCATTACTTTCCACCATCTCCTTCTTTAAAGGGTTGAGATGATGAAAAAAAAAAACTTGAGTAAAAAAAATTGCAATGCACTTCATTTATTAAATCACATTTACAGCATATGCAAGTTTATAAGATTCAAGCCGTTGTGAATGGAAATGGTTTTATCAGTGAACGGCATCTGAGGGACTTGCGTACAGTAATATTTACAGCGGCTCAGTGGTTTAATACCAGTGAAAGGTCACAGTGAAAGTCGGCCATCTTTTGGCCATCCTGCAGGAATACAAGAAGTTGTTTCGCTGCTGGATTTAATTAGAGGCCTGTGGCATTAGAGAGAGCGATCCTGTGACGGATTCAGAATCTGTGAAGCACATCGAGAGAGTCTGACGCTGAGTGGGTTTTGATTCAGAAATGCTGTTCTGTATATTTTTCTCCCTAATAATCCCTCGAGGAGCCTGCAGCTCGTAATTAACGTTTTCTGCAACTTTGCAAGCTGAACAGTAGAAAAGATTTTGCTCATGTAATTTCACGTGAGTTATGTCTGAATTCGCATGCCCTGTAAAGCATGAACGATTCGGTTGTGTGTGACATCCTCTATGTGTGTGTGTGTGTGTGATATAGTATTTATTTTATCATAAAATAAATAAAATATTTATATTTTATTATATTTTACATATTAACGTGTATATGTAAATATATAAATATCATTTTGAAACATTTTAATTTATATATTTTAATTTATATATTTATTTTATTAAAATTTGTATTATTGTTAAATCTGTGTTTTATGTAAAAAAAAAAAAGTAATATTTTATTCATAATATACGTAATTATTGCCATCCAGTCATTAAATCAGTATAAAATCATTAACTTCTCTGACAAATCATCACAAGAACCAGCTCTTCCGAGTCATTTGTTTGAATCATATTACACTGTGCATGTGCCAGAGAAGAAAACACAATTATTTCAATTATGTATTCTTTCTCAATCCTCAGTCTTTGTATGTGATATCTTTCGTTGTGGCGCTGTAGATGAAGCTGCTGAATGCAGTTTACTTAACATATTTTATACGAGAATGAATGAATTACCTTTTTCTCCTACAGTTGGCAGTGATGTAATCACGACAGTCTGGGTTTTTGGCTCATTTTTATGTAACGTTTGAAAGAAATCTGTCTGTCTGTCAAGTTTGCAGTGATGTCTCTGTCTCTGCTTTTTGATATTGCTTCAAAATTGTAGGTGTAATACCTAAATATATCATTTTAAATGTATCATTTAAGATGTAAGGGAGAATGTACATTTAGCCAGTCACTGCCACAGAATAAACCCAGATAAATGATCAGGATCATCCTGGAGGGTTTTATTTAGCCACAGTGACTGTGACAGTGTTATAGTGACACTGTAAAAAATAAGTCAAATTTTAATGGTGAAAGACTTTAAAAATGCTAATCTGTTAAAGGTTCAAAACTGATTTTAGTAGAAATGTGGTCATGATAATTCAGCATTGTATTGGGTTAATAATTATGGTTAAATTACATTTTAGTTGAATTAAATAAGTCAATAGTTGTCGCAAACAATTTGAGCAAACATGACTAATTGGCTTCTCTGTGCTGTTTTGTCAGCATCTCTATTTTTTTTAAATGCTCTGTTGTAAACAATATTGACAACGCTTTACAAAAAGGTCTTATTTGTTGGCATCAGTGTTATTTTAGTATTATTTATATACTATTATATTATTTATTAATATTTTGAATTAACTTTTTATAGTTTCTGTTTTCATTTCATTTTAGTTTTAATAATTTTGTGTCTTTTTTTCTATTTCTATTTCTATTTAGCTTTATTTTTATTTCAGTTTTAATTTGTCATTTTTTTAGTTCAGTTAGTTGCCATGGCAACCATTCTATTTTTTTGTTTAAATTTAAGTTTAAGTTGTTTTTTTTTAATCTAATATTTATATTTTATTTTATTACAGCTTTAATTCAAGTACTGAAAACGAATAAACAATTTGTAATAGTCTTACTTGACAATAACAACACTGGTTAGCATTAGCAAACATAGTCATGCTAATTCAGGATTGGATTGACTGGTTTCAAGTGTAATTTTTTATTTATTTAAATTACGACAGTTTTAAACTGCGTTCTGTTAAATTGTTTTTATTTTACTGTTTTTTTTTTGCATAATTATTCTGGCAACCACAGCTGCCACTTTTTTTTCTGTAAAAACAGGAGGAAGCGTTATTATGGATTATGGACTGTATTTTAGCTGGAAGCAAAAGTTTGAAGTTAAAACATCTTAATGCTGGATTTGTTTCAGCTTTTGTCTTCTCCAGATGTTAACTGATGCACTGGAGTGCTGTGGATTACTTGTGGATTATTGTGATGTTTTTATCAGCTGTTTGGACTCTCATTCTGACGGCACCCATTCACTTGCAGTGAGCCAGTGATGCAATGCTACATTTCTCCAAATCTGATGAAGAAACAAACTCATCTACATCTTGGATGGCATAAACTTTCAAAATCAAATTCATTTTTGGCTGAACTTTTCCTTGAAGACTGGTCATTTAGTCATTAAACAGACATATTTGACGTCAGGATGCAGCACTTGACCAAGCGAGCGTCTAATAACGTTGTTTAACACCCTCTGGTCTCTCGTGAAAGCCTATAAATCCTATAAATCTCACTGTGGAGATTTTGAACGCCATTTTTACGTGCGGAACCCTCTCGTGGAGTGTGTGTTAGCAGAGAGCAGGTTGGTGGATGAGAGTGTTTAATGGGGCAGAAAGATGCGCATCTGTCCTCTCCCTGAGCTCATTAACACTCGGCGGCAGGAGCGTTTGCCTTTCGCTGTTGGAGTCGCAGCGAGATGTCGAGTGACTGAGTTTATGTACTTGCACGCTGAATGATGGTGTTAATACTTCTGGCTGCATTTAAAAGAGACAACGCCTTGAGCTCTGGCTGTACGAATCCGACACAAACGCTGCGTCCATCGCACACGACCCAACACATCAAGCGCTTCTGCTGCAGGCGGACCATTAACATACTGAAATGAGAGGTCGTGCTGTTGGTTTATGGAAACCAATTTCTTTCTCTAATTTTCCTATTTGTTATATTTTTCACGACGTGTCTTGTCTTACTGGAGGAAAATTAAAGATGCGAATTGACTTTTTTTAGAAATTCTAATAAAAATATAAATTGACAAATTGGCGATTAAATTAAATATGTCAATAGTTGTCTGCAAACAATTTGAGCAAACATGAGTAATTCACTTCTCATGCTGTTTTGCCAGCATGTCAACAGTTTACAATAATAAATCACGTTAGCATCAGTTTTAGATTTATTTATATATAATTAATATAATATATTAAGTATTTATTATAATATATTATATAAATACTATTTATTTTATATTATATTGTTTATATGTATATATTATCTATTATTATTTTAGAATTATTTATATATTTTTAAAATTTGTATTAATATTCTGAATTAGCTTTTATTTTAATGTTTGTAGTTTTCATTTTAATTTTAGTTTTAGTAATTTTGTGCTTTTATAATTTTAAGTTTTTTAAAAACATTTCTATTCAGTGTTATTTTAGTATCATTGAGATCCTATTATAGTTTTTATTAATAATTTGACGTTTTTATTTTTATATTTTGTTTTTATTTTAAATTGAATGTTTTAGTAATTTTGTGTTTTTGTCATTTGTATTCGTTTTTTATATATATTTTTTTTTATTTTATTTTTTTCAGTTTTAGTTTGAGTAATTTAGTTAGTTGCCAAGGCAATTTTTGTTTAATGTTTTTAAACGTTTTTAATATATATATATTTTTTTCATGTCAGCTTTCAGGTACCGAAAACGAAATGTAATACTTTTAGTTTTAGTTAAAAATAACAACATTGGTTAATATATTTTGACAGCGTTTATTAATCTCTGTTAATGTTAGTTAATAAAAATCCAGTTGTTCATGTTATTTCACAGTTTACTATGTTAACAGATTCATTTTAAAAATGTATTAGTAAATGTTAAGATTAACTAATATTAATAAATGCTATAGAAGTATTGTTCATTGTAAACTAATGTAGTTAATTATTGTTAACAAATGAAACCTTATTGTAAAGTTATAAAGTTCTCGAAAATGTAATAGATTCAAAAATTAATTTTGTTTAAAGAAATTGCTTGTATATTTACTAGTAAAAACATAAATCAATAATTTAAAATAAATTACAAGTATATTTACTCTACAAGTATATCTACTGAATGAAAAGTATTTAGACTAAACATAAGCTTCTTGGAATTTTAAAAAATATTTTTTTTATATATATTTAGAAAGTTATATTTTAATATACTTGTATTTTTTTAATTTTGCTGGTAAATATATAAACAATTTATTAAAAAAGAAACACTAAACTAAACACTTTTTATTCCATAAATATAATTCTTTATATTTTTACTAGTGAAAATGTTCTTCTCTCCAGTTTTTTTCTTTTCTTTCTTTTTCTTTTTTTTTTTTAGCATTTCCATAACATTTTATTATAACAAGCAAAATCAAACAACAGTAGTATGATAAAGTTAACTTCTTTAGCTCAATTCATGTTGGAAATCTATTTTTCAGGCTCTTCCATCTGATGCACATGCATAAAAAAGCGATGTGCATGAAAAAGGTAACATTCATGATAAAACACAACGAGAAATATCTGTAAAATCCTGTAAAAACAAATGTAAATGACCTTGTATGACTGATATATATGTATGTATCTCACCCCGTACACCAGCTCCCCAACCATGCCGTTCCAGATCTTCGTCTCTGGATCTCTGGCTCCGTATTTCCCGTCAGGAACGATGGAGATCTTGTACTTGATGCCGATGTGCTTGGCGATCTCGGACGCCAGATCCACGCAGTATCCTTCGAACTGGTCATTTCCTTCGTACATCTCCCAGTTCTTCTTCAACATCACGTACGGTCCTTCCTAAACGCACACACACACACACACACACACACACACACACACACACACAGACAGAGGTGGGCAGGGATGGTCAAGCTGACCTCAAAATTAAACTGTATTATTAATTACAATTTTCAAAATAAAAGTTCTTTGGAAGACTGGCTTCTTATCAAGAACCATTTTGGGCTTTATAGGTTCTTTGGAGATCTTAAAGATCTTAAAAAGTTCTTCAGATCAGCGTTTTGGTTACTAGGTTCTTTAAAGCACCAGTACAGATGGTTTTCTGAAGCACACGAGTTATATTTTTCATATAGTAACTTCATTAATACTCATAATCAGATAACATGAGTATTCGCTGGGATGCACAGGACCTGATTGCAAACATAAATGTGTAGTACATCATGTAGGACACTCATATTACACTCTTTTATGAGCCATAAATGAGTGCAATATGTATTTGTGATGCTCATTAGAAATGCAGCCAATAAAGGTTTGACTGACAAGATCATCATTATAAATCAAAACATTTATTTGAATCATTTCCACACATGTATACGACTGTCTGAAACATTTGACATGTAAACCATTAGAGGCAAAATGCAAGTATTAAGTCACTATAATCAACTGGTCAATGATAATCAAATGATTTAATTAGAGCAGATTATAATAAACGAGTTCATATAATGAAAATAAAATCAAGAGATCATTTCTGGCAAGAGAAATCATTCTAAACATTAAAGCAAGGATCATTTAGACAGACAAACAACAATACATTTTGACAGTGTAAATGTCAAAGTACATTCATTTGATAGTCAATTATTCTACATTAAATATACAGTTTTGTACATTTCTAGAGGTTTTAAATGGAGAAACTGAATGAAATATCACCACACAGTGTATAGCGCTTCATTCTGAAGGTCGATTTTCTTTTTCACTTTGATACTGATATATAAATATATCCATTTATCAATAAATGAAAAGAGTGTTTAGAGTAAGTATACTTTTCTTTTTCTTTTTTTTCAATTTATATATATATATATATATATATATATATATATGTACTAGTTCACTTAGTTTAAAAACAAATACAAATATATTTACTGAACAAAAAGTTTGTTTAGCTTATTTTTAAATAAATTATTTATATATTTATAAGTAAATATATAAATGTTTTTAACAGAAAGTTTTTTTTGAGTGAATATACTTGTCATTTAATTTTAAATAAATTATTAGTTTATATATTTACCAGTAAATGTATAAGTTAATAATTTATTTTACAAATATATTTTCTGAACAAAAAGCGCATTTAGAGGAAATACTGTTGTGATTTACTTCTAAATAAATGATTTAATAATAATTATAAATGATTTAATAAATAAATGACATTTACCAGTAAATAATTAAATACTTTTACTGAAAGTGTTTTGGGTAAATATAAAAAAAAATGACTGAACAAAAAGTTTGTTTAGAGTGAATATACTTGTAATTTTTGTTTATATATTTACTATAGTAAGTGCGTAAATTTATAATTTATTTAAAAAGAAATTACAAGTGTATTTACTGAACAAAAAGTGCATTTAGAGGAAACAAAGTAATATATTTACTAGTAAATAATTAAATATTTTTATTGATTTATACATGTGTCTGTAAATATATAAATATATGATCAATAGAAGCACAGAAGGCAGCACTGCAAATAAATGATGAAAATATGAAACTAAATGACTTATTTTGAAACCATAAAACCTTACAACATTTTACATACTAGCATGAGACTGGTGTTAATCGCTGTTATCTGTAGTTATTGGTAACATATCACTAATGCTGTTAATAGATCATGAAATAGATCTTCAATATGACTTCTATAGTGGTTTCTGCAGTGAAAAAGGTGGTCTTGTCTGAATCAGGAGAGCAATATGCACAGATCAAGCACTGATTTTGATATGAGAGGACAATAGGAGGAAGCATTATTATGGATTTTGGACTCTTATTTTAGCCAGAAATGGCGATTTTAAGTTATAAACGTCTTAATAATGGATTTGTTTCTTACAAACATGCATTTTTTGTCTTCTCCAGATGTGAACTGATGGACTGGAGTGCTGTGGATTACTAGTGGATTATTGTGATGTTTTTATCAGCTGTTTGGACTCTCATTCTGACGGCACCCATTCACTTGCAGTGAGCAAGTGATGCAATGCTACATTTCTCCAAATCTGATGAAGAAACAAACTCATCCTAATCTTGGATGACCTGAGGATGACCTGAGATTTAAGCAAATTTTAATTTTTAAGTGAACTATTCTTTTAAGCTCAGAATTACGACTAAATAATTTGACTAAACAGTGAGTGGGTGGACACACTCTTCCAGGTGAAAGACATTAATGTAAGAAAAGAGAACGGATGAATGGATGTGTGTGTGTGTGTGTGTGTGTGTGTGTGTGAGGCTTCAGTGTATAATACATACAGTAGGAGGAACGTGCCTCGCATCCCCTTGATGGAGTTACACTAATTACAGCTATCAGTTACTCTGCAATCCTTCTCTCCGTCTGAAGCACACATGTCCATATACACAAACACATCTGGATGTGCTGCTCTGCATCTGTCACACTTACGCTTGATCGGTTCGAGAACTCTCATCAGATTAATTAACGTGTCTATTTATAGTAAGTGTTTTTGTTTGTGCTCGCATTGTGTTATTAAAAAGATCTGGTTTAAAGTCAACAGGAAATGGTCTGTTCTACTGATATAATGTAACGGATATATTAATGTTTTATTTATGATGAATTCGTGTGGTTGTGATTCATATAAGAGTGGAGTCAGAGTGGAATGTGACTCTGCAGTGGATTGTGGGAGATCTGAAACAGAGGCAAACACTGTGGAGGCTGAAGGTCAGGTTCGTCTGCATGCAACCCAATGGTGATTCTTATTTTTCATTTGTGTCATTATTTGCTATTATAGGCATATTTTATTTTATTTGTTTATATTTACATTAACTGACATTCAATTATTGCATTGGCAAGCTGTTAGAAAGCCTGCATTAGTTACTGCAGTAGCCGAACACAAATTCACACATTTTTTGACCTTTGAATATTTAATTCCATTTTAGATTTTTTGATTACTAGTTCAATAATTTAACAGCACATTTGCAGGTTAACGGCTCTCGGATGTTAGTCAAATTACATTTATTTAGATTTTTAAAAATTATTTTAAATATAATTTAATATTATATTTTTAATGATTTACTTTAGGTAATAATTCCTTTTTAGTTTAGTTTTTAGAATAAATATACTTTTTCATTCATTAAATATATTTTTAAATCATTTATATTTCCTTAACAAAAAGTATTTAGACTAAATTTAGACTATTTTTAAAATAAATAATTTATATTTTTACTAATAAATATATAAACAATTTATTTAAAAATAAATTACAACAATATTTACAGAACTGATAGCGTTTAGAGTAAATATTCTTGTAGTTGGTTCTCTGTTAAAAATGAAAAATATTTGAAGAAATCAAATATTTTATTTAATTAGGTGTTTTATTTTGATTTTTTTTTTTCAATTATTTATTTTAATTTTACATTTTTATGATTTAATTTAGGAAACAATTATTTTTCCTCCCTCATTATGTATAAGTTGACAAAATGTGTTTATAATAAATATACTTTTCATTCAGTAAATATACTTGTAATTTATTTCTCAACAAACTATAATTTAGACTAAATTAATTAATTACAAGTATATTTATGGAACAATTAAATATACTTGTATTTTTGAAGTTATATATTTAGTAGTAAATATATAAATGTAGTACCAATGAAGAATAGAAGGAAAATGGGCAGCACTATTTGAATATTTATTTTTACACTATTATTTTGAAACTGTAACACCTTATAACACATTATACATTAATCAAGCATATCATTGATGCTGTTTATAAAATGCTTGTAGATGCTAAATATCTTTTTTTTTCTCCAACAGAAGAAAGAAAGTCATACAGTTTGGAGTGATATGAGGGTGAGTAAATAATGATTGCTTTTTCATTTTGAAATGAACATTTCCCATTTCCAGTTTAAACATTTTTTTTACTCTTATTTTAGCCAGAATTGGCAATTTAAAGTTTTTTAACTTTTAAAGTTAAACTTTTTCATTTTGAAACGAACATTTCCCATTTCCCGTTTTAATAACCTAATAACCGAATATTCCTTTTAATGACAGGGTTTCAATTTTAGTTTAAAATTTAGTTTAATATCAACTTGTTTCAGAGGCTGGAGAAAGTTATTACATTTTGATATATGAATGTATATTTAAAAAAAAATAGGATAAGTTTTGAATCCATATTGACTTTTTCAGGTGCAAAGTTACATTAAACACATCAGTGCAACAGCACACACACACACACACACACACACACACACACACACACTCACACACACACTTCAGCAGCCGCTGTGTGTGTAATCAAGGATGAAACGTATCAGAAATGAGAGACCAGGTCTTTATATTCTTTGTAAAGGCCATGACTCACCGTATCCCGGCATAAATAAAACTATTTTGTGAAGGTGTCACCGTGTCGACCTGCACTAGCTGCTTCCTGTACGCTGTGTTTGATGTTTGATATGGAGATGCTATAAGGTGTGTCACAAACCTTTACCTAATGTGCTTGAGAAGGTTTGGAGTGATTCAGGCATTGAATTATAATGTAATATCAATTCAGTTTTGAATGATGCATGATCCTGATGAATATACAAATATATAAATCCAACATGCTTGCACTTCAGAGTTTCAGGGCAACATCTTTGTTAGTGGATCATTTAATTGTAGCATGAATGATAGAGATCATCCTCCATAAACACAGAAAACAGCATCTCAGGTCATCACACCTTCAAGAAACACAATCCTCTGATGGATTTCAGGACATTTAAAGGCAACACAATAATGTGACGTTACAAGACTGTACCATAAAGCTCCAACTTCCATTATAGAATGAATATTGTAAATGTAGATTGTGATTTTATCT